TTCCTCTCTGTAAAAAATCAATAAAATATATTTTTTTAAAAAAGTTTTTGTAGAAGTAGTCTACAGGAGCTTCTGGAAGAAAACATGCTCAAGAGAAACCACAATAAAAACTTAATCAGTTGCCCTGGTCAGTGTGTCCAGTGGTTAGAGCGTCAGCCCGAGCATCGCAGGGTCTTGGGTTTGATTCCGGGTCAAGGGCAAGTACCTGGGTTGCAGATTCAATCCCTGGCCCGGTGGGGGTGCGTGTAGGAGGCAACCAATTGATATGTCTCTCTCACATTGATGTTTCTCTCTCTCCCCCTCCTCTCCCACCACTGGATGGAAAAGATATCCTTGGGTGAGGATTAACAACAACAAAAACTTAATCATTTAACAGAAATCATCAATTAATTAAACAATTTTCTGATCTTGCTAGTCACGAAAAGAAAATAAGTGGCCCCTAAAAAAAAACTGTGTTGTTGTTTTTTTAATTTAAAAATGCAACATTAACTTAGTCAGTGTGGCTCAGTGGTTGAGCTTTGACCCATGAACCAGAAGGTCATAGTTCAATTCCAGGTCAGGGCACATGCCCGGATTTCAAGCTCAATCCCCAGTAGGCAGTCGATCAATGATTCTCATCATTGATGTTTCTATCCCTCTCTCCCTCTCCCTTCCTCTCTCTGAAATCAATAAAAACATGTATTTTTTAAATACAACATTAAAATACTCTCTATGGTCATCATAGTCTCTAATCAATGTGTTAGACCTTTTACATCTATAATTTTAAAATTATACAATGGAAATTGTTCTAATTATGAGCCTGAGGTTATAAAATCAAACAAAGAAAATCCATGCAAACTTGATATGTTTTCATGACAATTTGCAATAAAAATTTGCAGTAATCCACATTTTAAGATAATCAAAAACATGAAGAAGTAGCTACTCAAAGTCAGAAAATAAGTAAATACCATAATTTAATCTCCAAAGTTTGTTTCTCCTCTTTTTCTCTGTATTACTGTCTCCAGCAAGCTCAGAGAACCAGGATTTTTATAAGAGCAACTATGAAAGTACAAATTCCCACTGATATTTAGATGACCCATGTCTCCTGAATTTATAGCCCCAAAACAACTCCTCTAAATTTAAGGAGGAATGATCATTTGTATCAAAAGCCTTTAAAATGTTTATGTTCTTTGACCCAATAATTCCACTTCTAAGAGATCTCCCTAGGGAGCTAAACAGAAACGCACATACAGATTTACTTACAAAGGTGCTCATTGTACCGTTATTCCTATAAGCAGAGAGCCACAGGGGAGGCAGAGAACAAAAACAAAGGACCGGTTTTAAAAATCAGGGTATACTTAGAAGATAAATGTTATCCATCAATTTAAAAGTATTTTTATTAATATGTCCCAATATTCACCATATATTTTAAAGTAAGAATTAGAAAAACAAAATAGTATTTATAGTATCTTCCCAATTGTTGGAAATAAAACTACATATGGAAGCAAAGAATAAACTTAGGAGGAGAAACCAATTATCAAAGTACTCAATCTCTCTATGCGTCCATTTCTTCATCTCTAAAATCCGGATAATAAAATCTCTTAAGGCTACTGTGAGAAGTGAAGAAGATGAAATACGCTAAAAAAGTGTTTAACACATAGTGAAGTACTCAATAATATTATACGGACAGACAAATTTGCAACACTATCCCCCCCCCCCCCCAAATAATGAAGAAATAAATATCACTCAATTCAAAACCTAAAGATACCCACTATTAATTCATGTTACTATCTGGGTCAATTTCTTTGGGGTACTCTAATATGCATTAAACATTTTATAAAATTGGTAAATTATTTCATTTCTAGTGGTTACAAAATATTACAATATTTTACAAATATATTGCGTGTATTTAATCACTCCACTATTATTGAGCATTAGGTTTAATTCTTCACTGCTATAAATATTACAGTGAATACCTTGATTTGCAGTCTCTGTACTCATCTTTGATTTTTTTTCCCCTCAAGAAAAAGTCTAGAAACAGAATTTCCATCTCAGATAGTATAAAGTACACTTAGTTTTACTCCTGTACAGACCTGTATGGAATGTGGACACATACTAAATGTTCAAAAATGCCAATTGCTCCCTTTTCTTCCCATGGACACTTAAAAGCTATTAATTGGCTTTTTTAATTGTAACCTTTCTATTGTTTTTTGGTACACTGCTCATCAGGTATTTCTCTTTTTCCATTTAAAGGATCCCCTTTTCTTTTATATCACTCTAACACCCCAAACATAACTTAAGGATTCATAACTTCATACATTACTCAAAAAGGTTAAGATTCTACTTCACATGTCTAGAAATGGAAGTCTTTGTTTTTCAGAAACACATCGTGAAATATTTGCAGATGATGCTTTATGACAGAGGAACTGCATCAAAATAATTGGGAATTGAGGAAAGGGAGTTGGTAGAAGCTAACAAAGAGTCGATAAATGTTGGAGCTGTGGAATGGGCAAATGAACATTCAGTCCACTATTCCTTTCTTTAAATATGTTTTAAACTATCTTTAGTGAGAGGAAATTTTTAATCTTTAAAAGAAGATATAATTATCAAAATTCATAAAACAATTATGGCTTAGCTTCTACCACAGGTCTTAAGGAACAATTCAATGATTAGTAAAAAAAAATAATAATAATAATAACAAAACCAAAAATATTTTAGCCAAATTTAGAAGTGAAGTAAACAACTACAGTATTTAGAATCTCTCAAATTACACTTGCCAGTAATTCCCACAGATAAAAACATACTACAATGCCTTTTTCCAAACCATGGCTTCAGCATACCATGCTGATTCTCCAAGACAATATTAGTATTTATATTGTGCACTACAAGAATACAATTGTGCCTCTGTCTGTGCCCACATGAATATTGGATAAATAGTTTTATTATGTACTAGTATTAAATAATCCAAATTCTCTTGGTGCTTAAATCACATCTTGGTATCAAGTTAGGCACATCATAAACAACACTTGCAGATTAACAGTTAGATCCACCAAAGCGTTTATTTGTACCCAGAGACATGCAAACAAAACCCACGTAATGAAAAAAACTACCTCACTGCACATCTTTTATTAAGATGTACTGCGGGAAAATATCACCTTGTATATTTCTACCTGTGTGGAAACCACTTTATCTTGGAGTCGGGTCATGATAACAAGAGAGCAGGGCAAAATGAGTAACATATCTAGGCATATGGGGATCAATGGCTGCCCCCCAGGTTGAAAGCAAGGGTGGAATGGACAGGTTAGAGACATGGTTTCCAAATTCTTTATACTGCAGTTAAAAAAATACATTTCATATAAGTATACTTATAATACATTTTATATAACAATTCATTATATTTACACCCACCTGATACGTTTGAAATAATCTGCAATACACGTTAGTGTTCTCCAAACTATTTTTTGTTTTGTTTTATATTCCAGTCAGTACCCACTAAGATGATTTCTTGTCTTCATAGTTTTAAATCCTAGACTAAAAATTGACCTGGAAAAAATGGCCTGCCTCTCTTCCTGCTTACCAAACAAAGGAGATGAAAGCAAGTACCAGTCCCTAAAAGCTACCATTTCCTGCCACCCAATCATCAGATGCTGGAATTCCTCTCTCCCTGCACAGAATAGAGCATTAGCAATGTCTGGGAGCATGGGGAGAAGGGGACAGGAGACACTGAACGGGTAGGAATCAGAAGACTACTGTTTTAAACACACACCAAAGCAAAGATAATCTCTTAAATTTCTTCCCATTCTAAAAGTTTGTGGTTCTAAGAGTTGGCTCTAGGATTATGAGACTCTTAAGGGTATGAAATTCATTGTTACATCTCCCACAAAGCCTAGCAAAGCAGCTTTCATAAAAATAATAAAGCACTTATGTAAATATTAAATTAAACTAATAAGATGCAAACTAAGCATAAATGTAAAGGTTCTGTCATTTAAATATGTTTTCCACATACTATTAAATGTAAAAATCAATGCTGTTGTATATTATTTGAAAATTCATAAGCATAAATATATTAGCATATATGTATTGTATGTGTATATATAAATATATATCATAAAACAAGTTCTATTCTTGTTACTTTGTCCACAAATGGTATAAAAACAATTCACTGTAAAATTATTCACTGTAAAAGCTCATAATCCAATTAAATCACTAACTTTTAGTTTCAATAAAACCTTTTCCCCCTTTGCCTGCTTAATGATATTATTATCAAGGAGTAAGGAAATAAGCTAAACATAGGCCCAGTACAAAAGAAAAATAACAGGGAGGACCAAACAATATAAAACTTTCATATCTCAACCATAATTTATGGTTCTCTAAAGTCCACTGGTTCTTGGCTCAAAGTCTCTGCTATTGTCTTAGAAGGAAGTTTTCTCCAAAAAAATTCCAATAACATCGAAGTTTTTTCCTATATACATTAACTATTATGGTTTAACTGAAGTGGTGGGGGTGTGTGAAAAAGGAGTACACAGAAAAGATTTCTGGTTTTAAGTCATAATAAAACGGTTTGTAATAAAGTAAATCCTGGTACCTTTTATATGTTATCAAATGCCATATAATGTAGTAAAAGACAACTTTCTCACGACAATCTGAAAATAACATAACTCTCACTTTCCTTCCATAAGCTTTACCAAAAATTCCCATTATTTTGAGGTTTTGAATTATTTGAAAAAAAAATCTAGAATTTTACCAAAATTAATACAGGGTTGGGGCAAAGTAATTTACAGTTGTGAGTACACAAAACACAGTTTATTCTTATTTATTATTATTTTTCATACAAACAACTGTAAACCTACCCTGTATAATTTTTAATTTTTAAATGAGGATGATGTTTACACATATGTCTTTGTTACTTAAGAATATAATGTTTTTTAATGCATCAATTTCAAATTTCCAGTTCTGGTTGATATTTCTGACCTTTTCTTAGAGCTAAATTTTAATTCATACTAACTTAAATTTAAAGGTACCTTTTAAAAGCTTCGGGGGAAAGGACTTGAACTGTTCCTTGAAAGAAATACAGAAAAGAGAGAATCTGCATTGCCAGAGGAGAAGGAGATGAGAATGGGAATGATGGCGGTGGTACAGGATACAGGAAGGTTAGCCTCTCTAGAGGCTCTTCATTAAAGAACTATGACGAGAGAATGTCAAACAATATAACTGGGTCAGTTAATGTTGAGGAGTCTCTGCAAGCCACAGGGAGATGTGCACTGAACAGTGACTGGGGGTCAACGGTGAACTCCCAGAATCTGCACTAAGTTGACCATTACACAGACAACACTGCCACCAGCCAGGAGTTTATAGATCAGCTAGAAGACAGACGTGTGATGACACATTTTAGATGCTTTAAGAGAACCTACCTAAATATGCTCAAGCTACTATCAGGAACAAGTCATCAATTTTTTTAAAATATATTTTTTATTGATTTTTTACAGAGAGGAAGGGAGAGGGACAGAGAGTTAGAAACATCAATGAGAGAGAAACATCAATCAGCTGCCTCCTGTACACTCCCTACTGGGGATGTGCCTGCAACCAAGGTACACGCCCTTGACCGGAATCGAACCTGGGACCCTTGAGTCCGCAGGCCGACACTCTATCCATTGAGCCAAACCGGTTAGGGCCAAGTCATCAATTTAAGTAGAGGAGGGGACAGAAAAGATTTCGCTCACAGCCTCTGTTGCCAGAAGACTAATGGGGGCAACCATCTACAACTACATGAATGGCTTTCTGCTTCTCTCTGAGGAGCTGGCTAGATGTTGATTAAGAGAGTTTAAATAATATTATGGCTTCATAAACATGACTATTTCATAGTAGGCCAATGTGACAGGCTCCCAAGTTCGGTGTTACCACATACCCTCTTACGTTAAACAACAGCACCTGGCTTTATCCCCAAAATGGTAATCTGGGGATTGCCTCCTCCCCATGTTTATGAAAGAAAGTATTGTGTCTGTAAGGTTTACACTGACTGACAGTTCCTCTCTTTCTATAAACTTATAAAGGGTAATAAGCAATTAATTCAGATCAACTTCCTCTGTACAGAAAATAACACATTTCGAAATGAGTAACAAAACAACATTCCAAATCAGTTTGTCACTATCGATGACCATACAGAACACAGCACAAAGCTTTCCATCCCATTCCAGGACATCCAAAAACTCTAAAGGACTTGCATACACTGGTCACTAAGTGCCACCCCACCAAAGGCTTTCTTCTCCACACTGGCTAAATGGGTCTAAGTGAATTACAAATAGGAAGGCAGAATTCAGAATTGGCTCACTGTACCCTAAAAATTGTACCCTAGGAAGTCAAATTAATTCATTACTAATTACTGAGGACCTACTATGTGTGAGAAACTAAGTTAAGTGCTTTATATACATTAACTTCATTTTAACCTAAACAAACCCATAATTTCTATAAATGTTCAACACTGCAGCTGTGGAAACTGACAAAGCTAGTAAATGAGCTGAAAAAATACTGCACATCTGGATTCTTTTATATTTTAAAAGAATAGGTGGTTGTATGGAGTTTTATGAGATAAAGTTCTCAAATTAAAATGCAATTATGTTTCCAACACGTTTTTATATTGATTCTGAACCTCAGAACAAAAGCTTGAGACCTCTCAAATAAGGACAATCAAACATAATTAGCACACAATTTATCTCAATATTTCATGAAGAATAAATTTGCATTATAGAAAGTAAAAAATAGGCAGGAAAGGAGAAATCATATTATGGCCAACAAATCACAGAGCTGCTTATTCAACCATTTTCTGTTAATGTCTTACCATTAATTAAAAAGTCTAAGAACAACTTGTTAAATGAAAATGACATTCCCATTTTAGCCAGAATACTTAAAATAATCTTTAACGTGCTTCTCAAAGATGGATGCTCAGTTTAAAGAGCGATAATACAATCAGCTGCAAAATTCCATGTCACAGTTTCTGTTACCATCATAACCAGCTAGCTCATATCAGTAATAGGAAGTGAGCAAAGGGAGGCCAGACATTGTAAGCATGCTCTTCTGGGCAGCTTCACCAGGAAGCTGCAACTTCACACTCCCCACAGGGAACCACTGGTCCATTCCCTGCAAATCACTGGGGTAGGGATCCAACAAAGAGGAAGATGGGCTCCCGTGCAGTGATGTAAGGAAGGTGCTTGACTGTCAGTCTAACCTGGGAACAAAGATAATTGGCCAGAGGGGTGGAGTCACAGCGAGCATGTGCAATCCTGAAGGATTCATTGGATAAACTCCTAGTATCAGTGATGGCGAACCTTTTGAGCTCGGCATGTCAGCATTTTGAAAAACCCTAACTTAACTCTGGTGCCGTGTCACATATAGAAATTTTTTGATCTTTGCAACCATAGTAAAACAAAGATGTACATTTTTGATATTTATTTTATATATTTAAATGCCATTTAACAAAGAAAAATCAACCAAAAAAATGAGTTCGCGTGTCACCTCTGACACGCGTGTCATCTCTGACACGCGTGTCATTGATTCGCCATCACTGTACCTAGTTAAAATCCACAAAGAATTCTCTCTCTTGTTCCTCTCGCTTTGCTCCTGGCTCCCACCTCCTTACACTCGCTGACTCCGTGACCCACACTCACCTGTGCCAGGCGGAGCCCACAGGCCATGGACTACATGCAGCTGGGAGCACAAGCTAGCCTAGCCGGACGCTGGACTGGACTGTGCAGACATGGGGCAGAAACTGGGCAGTGGCTTTGATCTTGGCCCAGCTGAAGACAAAATGGACTTTTCCCATGGCAGGGCGGAGGGAGATGGGACCTTGAAGGGAACTCCCTTAGTGTTACATCACCAATAAAGCTTTCTCTGATACCTCATCTTCCCGTGGGGGCCTCAGGAAATTCTTGTTCCCGGAGCACTCCAAGAAGCCCACTTCCACCGGCAAAAGGTGGGGACATGGGTAACATTTCTACATTATAGGGAAAAACCGGACAAAGTATACAGGTTATCAATTGCTATAACTGTGGTTTAAAATGAAACTTCCCTCCACTCCACTTAAACCATCCTTTTTCTCCTGCATCCCTGCATGCCTTTTTTCTTTTATTTCCCCTCTAAGTTGAAAGAGTATTTGGTCCTTGGCTTAGTTTAGAGGAGTTCAGGGTCACTGGAATGATACCTTCTGAATGTTGTCTCTGGACCAACTTTACAATGTAGGTTTTGCTCCTCTTCTTGTTAAGAAGTTGAACATACATTCAAATCATAATAGGGCTAAATGTCAATACTAACTAGAAAATGTATCAAAAGAAAGCAAAAAGAAGTCCTGATCAAGTAGCTCAGTTGGTTTGAATGTTATCCTGATATACTAAGGTTGTGGGTTTCACCTTCAGTCCAGGCACATATAAGAATCAATCAATACCACAGCTCTGGGGACTGAGGCTACAGTTTCTCAGCTCCCCTCCCCATGCTGGGGGCCGGGCCTGGGGGAGCCTCCCACCTGAGGGGCCTGCAGGGAGGCCATGACCCTGCGAAGACCAGGATGAGAGGAAGTGGTAAGAAGGGGGAAAAAAGAACCAACCAATAAATGCATTAATAAGTGGAACAAATCAATGTTTCTTTCTCTCCCCGCCCCCACCCCAGTTCTCAAATCAACAAATAATAAAAAGAAAAAGAATAAAGAAAAAAAAATTAAGCTTTCCAGAAACCTAACACCAGGTACAGTATAATAAACAGAAATGGACATAATTCTATTACCTTCACTGAGCCCAACTGCATATTAAAGTAGTGAAGGACACAATGAATAAGACAAAGATTGTGACCTTATGGAATCTGTAGTGTGGAGTGACTCACCCAGTTCTAGGACCATCCCTCCTAAACTGTCCTAAACAGAAAGTGCTGTTGAAAAGTTCCAATGTGGTACAAATGGAATTATTACAAAACAACAAATGCTTACCACAACATAGCAGGCTTTTGAATTAATGTGATTATATTCACGATGTAATAATATACTCATGTAGGATTTGAAATGAGAGAGGAAAAAAGATATGGAAAGTGCAAAGTGAGGAACTTCGAGTCATTTCTCCCACTTCGGGTTTTTTCACCCTCACTGCTAGTTACATAAATCCTATGTGGAATGCAATATTTCATTTATGACAATTTTATCTTTAAGACTTTCATACACCTGTCAAACCAGAAGTCATATGAAACAATTTGTTTTATAGATGCTCAGTATTAAAAAAAAAACCACTTTCATCACTCCAAACTAAATACAGTTTGATTGAAGATCAGATTACCAAATGATAATTTTATTCTTACCTATAAGCACCTGCCCTAGTTACTGTTTCAAACTAATTTAAAAAAAATCATATTTCAAAAACTAAATGTCCTAATTTAATCTTAAGCAAACACATGTAAAATTTCAATTAAGATATTTCTTAAAATAATACAACCAAAATATTTCTCATTCGTTAATATTGCTGAAACACCAAAAATTTGAGAAGTGACTTTGGGAAATGTACTTTTGTAAATAGATTTAAAAGGTTTAATCCCCACTGCATTTTCAATGACAAAAATAAATCCCATTCAGTATGGAACCAAAAGTATAATCTCCCAACCCCTTTATTGCATCAATATATATTAAAAGACAAAAATAGTCATTTAATCCAAGAGCTGATCCAAACAGACTAAGAGATTAATATCTGAAAAATCACATGTAAACCAAATCTGTATAAACCCCATTTCCATTATCATTTCAGAGAAATTGTCTTATAGGCAACATAATGTATGTAGTACAGTTACACAATACTAAGCTCTATTAACTTAGACAAAATGATTTAACCTCATTTAGAAGAAGAAAGGGAGAGAATGAAGGAGGAAGAAGAGAGGGAGACAAGGAAAATTTGTTAAGAATAAAAATAATGGAGCACATAATATCATTTTGCAAGCTTGTAGGCAGTAAATTATAGCACCCTGCTACACACACACACACACACACACACACACACACACACAAAACATGTTAGTGGGCCCTAATATACAAACATAATTACATATGAGAATCAAGTACAGTAATCTTTGACAACGTGCAGACTACATTTAACCTAGCAAGATAACTGATAACAAGTCAGCCAAGTGGACAATTAGTCCACAAGATACCTCAGGTAAAAA